ATGATTCTATGATTCTGTGATTTGAGACAAATGTCATCGTCCCCCTCCCCACGATACCCCCAACAAAACCCACCACCAAACCAAAACTGTAATAACAGCAATGATGAGATGAGCCCCGTGTTAGACAATGGAAACTGATTATGGTCCACACCTTCTTCATCTTCCTAGAGAACGATCTGTGTTCCTCCAGGCACAGCTTAGCCGGCACTCCTTAGAGCAGGTGAGCAGGAGTGAAATTGCTGGTGTCATGCATGTGGCATTTGGCTAAAGGTGAACCCAAACCTGGTCAGATTTGCTGTTAAATATAAGGATCGTGTTTTTCTTTCCTCAGAAGCTCAAGAGGTGAATTTCAGCTTCTTGTAATAGTGGTTGTGCAATCTCTTTTTCACAGTCCTCCCTCTGCTTGGTCTTACTTTATGTGAAGTGGCTTTCCCTCTTCTCAGCCATAATTGTTTTCAGCCCTTGTATGTGTAAGTAAGGCCTAGAGAAGAAATTAATTAATTTCATCTTGAGGGAAACAGGTGATTGTCAAGCCTGTATAAATAATTAAAACTTGGTAGACTTCTTAAACAGAAGAGAATCCTGCAGGGTGTGCAGCACTTGTCTCAAAAGGGGTGGAGAAGTTGTGGGCACCAGGGGTGCTCTTAAGAAATGAAGTGGGATTCTATGATTCTGTGATTCTATGAAATATTGCAAATATGTTGTTCTGGAGGGAGCAAAACATTCCCACCGGAATCTTGCTGTCCCGCACCGTGACCACCTGCTGGAGGGGCTGAGAAGTGTCCCAGCCGTGATGAGCAGGACTCAGTCTCTGCCTGCCCCTGCCCACAGAGCGGCACTGGCGTACCAAAAGCGTACCTTGCCCAGGTTTGGTTACTTCCGCTGGCACTATTTTACCACCACACCTTTTCTCTGGAGATCTGCTGCCCTTCTTTGCTCTTTACATGGAGCAAACGGCAGGTCTGCTTTTCTCATTAAAGAGCGAGCTGTGCGTGAGGGAAGGCAAGGGGGAAAGTGGGCCGTCTAGGATTTGGAAGAAACCAAGCTGAACAAGCTCGATGGTGTTTGTCTTGAAACAGTTTCTGCCGAGGATGTCAGCTGCTCTTCCAAAGGAAACAGTGAGGTAAACTGCAGCTTTATTCAGTGTACAATGCCTGAAACACCCGTCACAGGCCTCAGGCTCCACTGTTTACTTCCAGAGACCAACGCTGCCCAACACACAGGAAGTATGAGCATAGCGTTATTTTGGGGCTCCTTGCTAACACACACACTCGGTGATTTGTTTTAACCTTTCTTCTGTCGTGCATGAAAGTACATGCTCCTCTGTCAAGTCCCCATTGCCAAAATGCTAACTTGAGAGAAATTTAAAGTTTTAATTATAAGCCACATGAACTTTTAAAAATTTCTGTATGCGTGTTGACATTTGCAGCCCCCTGCGCTGATGCCTCATCAGTAGTGAGCTGTACCACCCCATCTCAGTGCAAAACCACGTATGTCTAGGCTCTATTCCATCTATGTTCTATAATATTCCATAATAATTCAAAACAGATTATTTTTGCAGTGAAATAATGCAGCACCTTAAAAAAAATTACTTAGAAATTTATCTAGCAGCATGAAGAACCTCTATTTTTATCAGGAGCTCTCTGTGATGATTAATGTGTTTGTGGATAATGAGTAGAACTGGAAGCAAGTTCTGAAAGATCTTTTACTCTCTCTTGGTAGCTGAACAAAACATTTCAATTTAAAATAAACCTACAGGATGTTCACCATATACTGGCAGGTTTTGCGAGGAAAATTCTTTTGTTGTGGAAGGGAGGAAGACGCCTGGAAACCGTGTGGAAACTGGCTTCGGTTTGCAGACCGGGACGCGCAGGGCGTGCAGCGGCCCTGCGAACACTGCAGAGTGGCAGGGCTGGACGAGGCTGAGGTGAACATCCCTAGAAGGGCTCTGCCAGTAAATAAACTGCAAAACACAAGGTTTCCAAAAGAGTTTAATAAATAATGAGGTTCGGTCTGTACTGTATAAACTATAAATATACCATGCAGTCCTTTATAACTTAAAATAATTTACAGACTGAGGTAGGGGGTGGGAGGATGCTGTCACAGGGCTTGGATCCACCTCAGGGTCTCCCTGACTTCCTGCAGGCGGTGTCAATCCGAATAAACCTCCAGGCTGCTTGCTTGCCCTCCATTGTCAGTGCTTTGACGAAGGTATGTGTTGTGGTGCAGTAAGAGTTCCAGTGCTTTGCATCGATCCCTCGGCACCCGCTGGAGACTGGCTTAGGGTCCCTGCACTTGGTCTCAAAAAAGTACTGCTTGAAAATGTTGTTGTTAATGTTGACCTCTCCCAGCACTGTCACCTCTTTGCCTTTAATGTCAGTGGCTGTGGTTTTGTCCCCGACCCACATGCTGACGCTGTCGCACACTGAGAACTCTCCCCGGTGTAATACGGGATGCGCGGTCCTCTTGGTCCTGGCGGTCCTGTTGAGAGAACCTGCCGTGCTGAGGAATCCCATACTCTGTCCTTGCCCTGACCCTGGGGGGGGCTGTGTGCTGAACAGCACCCGAGGAGACCGGAAACGCCTCTTCTTAAAAAATTTTGGGTCCATGGTGATATTTACAGCTTCTCTTCTACCTATTGTCCACGTAGAGTGGCCGTGGGATGCCTGTGGAGCTGCCTTGGGAATGTGGTGTCCGTTACTCTGGTGGGTATTGAGCAGGGAATGGTCTGCAGGGTACTCCAGTGGGGCATTGTCCTCTGACTTGGGAGCTGCCTGTGTGCCGATCAAAAAAGCTATAATCAGAGTGTAGTACAGCATGGGCATTACGCTATGCACCTAGAACAGAAGAGAAACGTGTGTTACTGTAAGCCGCGCTGGCACAGACGCGTGCTGTCGCTCACAATGAATCGATAGGTACTCGGGATCAGGGAGGTTTCGTCAGGTATTCATGTGGGTGCCAGATGTTCTTCCGGAAGGACTCATTCCAACAGCATAAATGTTCTTAATAAAGCGAGAACATTAGAAAATAATAGCTAGATTATTATTAATTCCTCTGGTATTTGTTATTAGAACACTGTTTACGAAGCACTTGCTTGGTGTTGTTAATGTGGAGACCATATGGTGACAGCATGTTCCCAGGAGTAAAATCTCCAGTGATTTTTGCAGCAAGCTTTTTGGCCTTTTGGCTGCAAATACTCTGCAGAGTAGTGAGAGCAGAAGCAGTCCCTTGGCTAAAAGAGCTGTTCATTCAGTTAATCTGTCTGCAGAGGTGTCCTTGGGGCTAGGGTGGGGACCACCAAGCCGGTACTTGCGGAACGGGGGAGCCCCGGTGAGTCACGCCGTTATCACACGCTCCACAGCCACGCTTACCTGCCCTGGGGACGGGCCCCACCACTCTGGCTGGCTCAGCAGCCTCCAGCAGCCGCCATCTATCCCATCTGCCCTTTCGGGATGCACCACATTGCTGATTTTAGGCAGATAAAGCCCAGGCTCCCTCCCAGAAGAGCTCAGGCATCACATGTCACCAGGCCAGATGGGCTTTTTTGATGTTTAAGCTGCTTATTAGGACAAATACAGGTATTACAGAGGAGCTCCACGGGTGACAGGCTACTTCCGGGCTGGCACCTTAGGTCTAGCATGGCTAAAACCGTTGTGGCCATAGCGCTGGGGATTACGTACAGGGACACCCCTTCCTGCTGTCAGTGCCGTGAGCGAGAAGCTCCACCAACATCGCTGCACAGAGCGATCCAGTGCTAGGGCTAGTCTTCCTTTGGTCTGCAGGATGTGCACGTCCGGGTGTGGGAAAGTGTGGGACAAAGGTCTAAAACTTCACCAAGAACACTTCTATCTGGAGGACCAGCAGCAGG